GTCGTAGATTTACGGCACGTAAAAATCCTCATGTCTCTAGGAGACCTCTGAGCAAAATTAGGCAACACATTTCCCGCCCAAGTAGTTTCTAATGCCTCTGGTAGATGGGAAAATATCAGGTATCGAGGGCCGACCTCGTTGGCTGAACAGGGCTGATAGCACGCACCAGTACCGGTAGGGTATNTAATAATAATAATAATAATAAAATAATTATCTATCTATCTATCTGCCTGCTTGCCTGCCTGCCAGTCTGTCTGTCTCTCTGTCTGTCTGTCTATCTATCTATCCGTCCATCCGTCTATGGCTCTAAAACCCTTGCGGACCCTGTCCTCTTTTTTTCAATTTCTTAATCTATACATAGTCTGTAGGACTCCTTGGATGGGGGATCAGCCTGTCGCAAGGCCACTACTTAACACACAGAACAACACACAGACATCTATGCCCCGAGTGGGATTCGAACCGACGATCTCAGTATTCGAGCGCGCGAAGAGAGTTCATTCCTTAAACCGCGAGGTCACTGTGATGATCGGACTTTACAGTTAATATAAATATAAATTGAGCAGTAGCTTCACAATATTTGTGAACCATTGCTGAGACCGGTCCCATCGTTATGTTTAAGGATTTTTCGACGCTGGTACACATTAGACAATTCGTTTGCACTAAATAAACAAGTCTCTTAATTAAAAGTTAATTCGTAATATGTTTCGCGCATGCGCCATGTAATTTCCCGCAAATGCTTTTATTGATCTTAAATTTCTTTCCTTATACTCCTCTCGGTGAGGAAGGAAGGCGTCTGGAAGACATTGGACGAACCATCTTCGGATATTTTCTTGGAAAAGACATTTTGTAAATTACAACAACGAAGTATTTAATGATGCATGTCTTTTATATAATGTTCTTGCAAATATTAACTCGAAGAGACCTAGGCTAGTCGAATATGTAGAAGATCCGGGGACCAAGAAACCCACGTGAACACAAAGTCGTTTACTGTTTGGGTACTAATAGTTCGATCTTTTAAGTTAGTTTTATTGGTAATGGTATCAGTAACTAATCTATTAAAATTGCTGGACGAATGAAGGTTCTAAAAGGTTCTACAAAAGAGAACTGTAAAATGTAGAAAGCAAATTTCCTTTTGTCCGCCACCTCTCTTACCTTAACGATTGCAACTATAATTTTGAAACGTTCTGTACTTTAGTGTTAGGCTAAGTTAACGATTTCTTTGTCAAGAAGGTATAGTGGTTTCTTTGGTCAGTCTCCAGACCAATTTTTTGTCCGTTTGCCAGTATCCTGTGGACTGACGTGTTAAAATTGCCTTCGGATGAACTTACATCCGTCTTCGGAGTAAGATTTTGTGTCTCCACCTTCCTCTGTTTCTGTAGTGGCCACATCCACCTCCAGAATTCTTTCAGCTTTCACATTTTTCTACAGTTTATATCGACAACAGTACATAGAGGCATTTAGTTTTGTATTTTGAAGTGGATGTTGCAATTTTATATAATCTTTAGCGAGAGAGAATTTCAGAATTTAAGGCATAAAGGATTGAGCATTTATTAAATGTTCAGACCTTACGAATAATTTCTGATAT